TAGAAATCTGTTTCCTTATTTCGGAAAATTTTGAGGCCCGGTCCGAAACTGTGTATTACTTGAAGATTGCAAAATATCACTACTTCGTATTGTTTATTGAGACCGCCGTTGGACAATTAAAAGTGGCTGGCGGCCCGACATGAAAAAGTGTGTGAGTGCACGTGAATGTCCATCCGCAGGAGGCAGTCTTCACCTGAGATTGAGATGCCGCGGGAATGCTGCGCCCGACTTGTCCCGATTGTGTGCCTTGGTCTGCTGTTCTTGTTGAGGCGAGCACTGGACCATTAGGCGGCCGGCTCGTTCACAGCAGTTTGGACTTCGACAGCAGTACAGTGCTGCTGTAGACATGCTTTCCCGCCAACAACGCCGGACTGCACGGTGTTGCCAACTCCCGTCTGCGTAGCAAGAAGACGAGTTGGCATCAAGTGTTATGTGTGGATATAACACGGCACTGGCGGTGCGTGCTGTGTGCTGCGCTGTCGCGTCCGCCAAGCACGGACCCACGCACCATCAGCGCCAGGGGCGCGACGGCTAGTTTTTGAAGGGTAGGGCTCCGTGAGCACGGAATACCGGCCCGCCGCTGCCGCCCATGAAGATTCAAATTTGCTTCACTATTATTTGCATGCAAGGGAGCTAGCTGCCCACATGAACAATGCTGCCAGCAAGCGAGTGGATGGAACTGTCCGTACTATGATGAATATTGCGAAAGAGAGGGGGAGAAGGGCGTCACCAAGGCTAACATATCACTTACAGTTGTCAGAATGTTCGTTCATGGGGTGTAGTCTGTCGACAGCGGTGTCCATGTATGTCCCACAGTAGTAGCTGCTATCACAGCTAGCTGTGTACAGCAGTAGACTACTGAAGGATCTTCCCTTCTAAGCGATGGCAACGCAATTCGTTGCCTTTCACGGCCCACAGACCTGCACTACAACCCAGGCAGCGTTGACACCCTGGCAGGGTTCCTGCCCGTGGACCTTCTGGGGACCGAATACCTTGGCAGGGTGTCACAGCGTCCGTACAGGGTCTAATTGCCCGCAAGGTCCGCACAGGGTGAGCCAAATGGCTACGGGTGAAACCCGCTTGCATCGAGAACAACAACGGCGTCCCCGATGCGAACTACACCGTCACGGAGTCATCCTTGATCCAGAGCCACGTCTTCCTCGGCTACCTTCGAGACTTCCGCGAACAGCTCGATGTGCGCGGCTTGCAGCGCAAAGTTTCCCTCGTCCTCGACGGCCACGCCTCGCACACGACATTCGACGCCGTTAGCTTGGCCATCTCCCTGGACATCGACCTCTTCCAGCTCCCATCCCACACATCGCACATCACCCAGCCCTTGGACGTCGGTACGTTCGGAACCTTCAAGGAGCTCACCAGGGTGCTCATGGCCTACCCACTGAAAAACGGGGGGAGGGGTAGTCCGGTGAAGCGCGACATGGCTCGCGTGATTGCGGAGGGATGGAGAGGGAGCTCCACGCCTACGAACAACATGGCGGCATTCAAAGGGGCGGGCTTGAGACCGGTGAACATGGAGAAGGCCATCAACCGGCTACACAGCAAGAGGAAGCAACGGGACAATGACCATCCTCTCCCTGAAGACCTCGCCGTCATTGCCTCCAAGGAGCAGCTCGAACAAGACCTCGGCCGCGCTGCCCTTCTGGAGCTGAAAAGACAGGGATTGATGATCGAGGGACTCCGTGTCAACACCGTGTTCCTCGGCGTGCTCACCCGCATCAGCAAGCGCTCCAAGATTTTCGCGACCGCTCGGGCGGGCGGGGGCAAACCCGAGGGCGGTCTCCTGTCCGCCAAAGAACACCTTGCTTGCCTTTGCTACGAAGGACAAAGAAGAGAAGGAGGCAGCTGAGAAAGCAAACGCGGAACGCGCAGAGGCAAGGGCAGCGGGGGAGGCCAATCGACCAAGCGGAGCAGGTCGTGGGCAAGGCGGCGGGCAGGGCGGAGGGCGGGGCGGTGGGAGAGGAGGCGGGCGGGGCGGCGGGGGAGCCGGAGGGCGAGCCGTAGGAAGGAGTGGGGGGCGAGGCGAGGGAAGGTGTGGAGGGCGAGGAGAGATGAGCGCAGGGGGTGGGCAAAGCGGTACGCGGACGGAGGTTGGGGGGCGCGGTTGTGGTGGGCGTCAGGAAGGGCGAGACGGGCGTGGACAGGGACAGGGTGGCCGGGGCCGCACCGCTGGTGCTCGCGGAGAGGGAAGGGGGGCGGGTGGGTGGGTGGGGGCCGGTGCTCTCGTCCAAGGAGGAGCGGGACGGCCGAGAGGGGCGGTGATTCCCTTGGTTCAGCCGCGGCCGCCGGCGGCCCCCGTTTCTTCTCGAGGACGGCAACGAACCCCGACACCAATCGTTGATGTTTAGACTAGATGCTCTACGGTTGTCGTTTTTCTCAGGACTAGTCTACCCGGTGGATGGATTATTCGAGTCAGACGTTCAGCAAACGCTATTTGAGCGTCTAGGTGCCGATATGCATCCCAGGAATTGCATGTTGTGTTTATCGAGCTCTTGGGAGTAGTTTTGGAGCATGCCACGGGGGGCAGGAGGCGGGGGGGGTTGCCTAGAGGTGTTTTCCGGAACCCCGGGGACAGCATTCCCGGGGCTGAAGGATTAGACTATTGATCGTTTTTGCTGCTTCGCGACTTGAGATGATCGCCTTGAAAGGAACTTTCGACGGGGCGTTCGGGTGGTGGGAAACAGTTTCGATTTTCTGCGAGAAGTCTCACCGCAGCACCAAGCTGCTTCTTGCCTTGCTTGCCGAGTTTACGTGTTTGAATGTATGTAAAGAGGCGTTAAATGAGCCTCAATCGTCATTGGTTTTTCTTACAGCCAAACTGCTGTGCCTTTGTGGTTTTGTAGGGCTATGTAGAAATGATGGGGGTGCGCTCCAGGACCGGGGGTCGGGGGGGGGGGGGGGGGGGGGG